TCTATCTATCTATCTATCTATCTATCTATCTATCCCCATGCACCCCATCTATCTATCCCCTTTCATACATGTACATCTATCCACTTAATTATCTATCATCTCAATAGCCACCTCTCTCTCTCTCGCTCTCGCTCTCATTGTGTGTGTCCCACTCTCTCTAATGTTTGTAGCTATGTAGTGAAACTCAGAGGCGGCTGAATGTAACCTGCTGTCAGAGGTTCAGCTGGTGTCCCAGTTTTGCACAACTCAAAGTGGTGTTATCATCATAGATGCTCCATGTTTGTGAACCTTTTGGTGGGGGGGGATGGCGGGGTTCACTTGAAAGGCATGTCTGAGCTCAGTCAGGACATGGTAGGAAGCTCCCACGGCTTTGCCCAGGTGGCATCAGCCAGGTGAGGTGTGTGGTTTTGAAGCTGTCGTGCAGAGCAGGTCTGTGTGCAGTAAAGCAGGAACGCAGGGACAGGGCCGTGTCCAAACCAAGACACCATTGTCACTAATCTATCCAGACCCCATGTGGAATAATGCTCAGAATCTGCCCCTGCCAAGGAGCAGGTGGAAATCACTTCTGTGCATCCAAGGCCCAACCCAGCTCTCAATCAGAAGCTGATTGGCTTCAAAGAAGCGACCCCATCTGCCAATCAGCTCACTGGTTCCAATGGAGCTCCACAGGTTTACATGAGCGTAGGGGGCGGCCTTTAATTTCAGTAGGGATGACAGTGGATGAGAAGCTGGATAGGAGTCAACAGGGCGCCCTTGTAGCAAAGAAGGCGAATGGCCTATTAGGCTGCATAAGTAGGAGCATTGCCAGCAGATCTAGAGAAGTGATTAGTCCCCTTTATTTGGCTCTGGTGAGGCCACATCTGGAGTATTGTGTCCAGTTCTGGGCCCCCCACTACAGAAAGGATGTGGACGCATTGGAGAGAGTCCAGTGGAGGGCGACCAAAATGATGAGGGGGCTGGAGCACATGACCTACGAGGAGAGACTGAGAGATTTGGGCTTGTTTAGTCTGCAGAAGAGAAGAGTGAGGGGGGATTTGATAGAAGACGTCAACTCCCAGAAGGGAGGTCCCAAAGAGGCTGGAGAGAGGCTGTTCTCAGTGGGGGCAGATGGCAGAACAAGGAGCAATGGTCTCAAGTTGCAGGGGGGGGGTCTAGGTTGGATATTAGGAAAAACTATTTCTCTAGGCGGGCGGGGAAGCCCTGGGATGAGTTATCTAGGGACATGGTGGAATCTTCATCCCTAGAGATTTTGATGTCCTGGCTTGACAAAGCCCTGGCTGGGGTGATTGAGTTGGGATTGGTCCTGCTTTTAGCATGGGGCGGGACTGGCTGACTCCTGAGGTCTCTTCCAGCTCTATGATTCTATGATTGGCAGGGCCGAAGTGGAAATAAACCCAAACATGGCCATTGCAGAGTTTCTCAGAAGATGGAATTCTTGCTTCCCACGGAGCCCTGCAAGGGATGGGCCCGCACCGGAGTTGTGTCCCTGCCCACAAGCAGAGTTCTCTAAGCAAGGCCCGTCAACCAGCCAGACCCTCACCCCACAGCTGCAGCACTTGGGGTAGGGGCTGGAGGAGGTTCAGCCGCTGGAAAGGAGAGTTGAGGCAGATGTGAATTGATAGGATGATTAAAGAGATTCCTGGCTAGACAGTAATACTCATCCTTAGAGTCCAAGAGCAGCCTATCTATCTATCTATCTATCTATCTATCTATCTATCTATCTATCTATCTATCTATCTATCTATCTATCTATCTCACTCCCCTGCCTACACATCCTCTCTCATAGGGTATGTCTACACTGCTACCATAGTTCGAACTAGGGTGGCTAATGTAGGCATTCAAAGTTGCAAATAAGCCAGAGATTTAAATATCCTGGGCTTCATTTGCATCTTGCCGGGTGCCGCCACTTTTAAATCCCCGTTAGTGCGGACTCCGTGACCGCGGCTACACGCAGCATGGAATAGGTAGTTCGAATTAGGCTCTCCTCGTTCCACAAGGAGTAACGGTAGTTCGAATTAGAGAGCCTAATTTGAACTACCTACTCCATGCCGCGTGTAGCCACGGGCACAGAGTCCGCACTAATGGGAATTTAAAAATGGCGGCGCCCAGAAGATGTAAATGAAGCCCGGGATATTTAAATCCCGGGCTTCATTTGCAACTTCGAATGCCTACATTAGCCACCCTAGTTCGAACTAGAGTGGCAGTGTAGACATACCCATATGGATTATGCAACGGAGAAACTCAGTGGCTGCGTCTAGATTGGCAAGGTTTTCCGCAAAAAAAAAAGGGTTTTGGGGAAAAA